CATAAAACTCATGAAGTGAACCACGTAACTCCTAGCCAGAAATACGACCCCCCTCCCAACAACGACCAAATACGACCCCCCCCCTCCAAAACGTCCGCAAAGCGAGAAAAATCAACTATAAAAATAAATTTTTCCCAGCCCAAATACGACCCCCCCCCTCCAAAACGTCCGCAAAGCGAGAAAAATCAACTATAAAAATAAATTTTTCCCAGCCCAAATACGACCCCCCTTTTGGCGGCCAAATACGACCCCCCCCCATAGGGAATCCCCAACCAATGCTGTGCCCTGTTAAAAGCTGGGCCGCATTATTAGGATGGCGCGCCGGTGTCAGCCGGCGAGTCCATGGTGCATATATAATCCCGTCGGTGCGCCAATCTATCATGAAATTCATAGCGCGCGTCGCAGCAGCACAAGGAAGCTGATTCAACAAGTGAGATGTGTGGAGGAGTTAAACTGATTTATTTGTAAGCGGCAAAGATGATCACTACTTGTACATCCGATCAGGAATGCCAGAAAATAAAGATGCCGCTCATCGATAGTGAGTGTGCTAGCAACAGCAAGCAACAGCCACTAATGGAATAGAAAGTGCGAAAACTGATAATGAGCGTTAGAAAGCGAGTATCATGAGGTTCATAGCGCGCGTAACAGCAACATTAGGGCCATGAGCCCATAAAGTGACGTAGGATGTGAGGTAGGCACATACGGTGGATAACAGGAAATTATAACATGTGATAAAGGCTAAACGTGACGCGTTTGCACGGCAAAAGCAGTTAGATCGCAAATGACAGCTGGCGTATATCAAGTATCGCAGTTAGCGATAGGAAAAGGCTATATTCAAGCTTTGCGACTATGAGACAGGCGCCCAAAGCTAGGCTGCGACATTTGCGCTCTTCTTGCGCAGGGCAAGAAAGAGGACGAGCCAGCTGGTAGACGCCTCTACAAGAGAATATGCCTTGGCTGCCTTTCCACACTCAATCCGGTCTTCACTCCTTGCCTGCTCTTATTGCAATCGTCACATTCAGTCGTATTAATTTCCATTTGTGATAATTGATTTGTTTCCGTTATTGCCGGGTCGATTTTTGGTAGTCGTTAGCTGTTGCTCAATTACCCTAGACTGAGGATTTCCAATAAACTGGCGTAAAGAAGAACTTGAAGAGAACACCAGAAATACAACGTGGCAGGAAAGTGTTTTTATCGAGTAGAAGGCTTCCACTTGATAAAGTTAAAGCACGGTACAGTACAACTCATTCCTATACTCATACAGCACATCGCCAAGCTAAACGTGTTAGACGATAGTGGGCAGGGTGCAGTATCGTTGTGCAGAACATCAAGCGGCTCGAACATGGCCGCTAAGGAGGGGAGAGGTCATAAACGCAGACTCCGTGAGCTTCAAGCATTGCGAAAGAATTATGGCTGTCCGGAAGCAGTGCTATAGAGAACTCCGATGTGCGACAGTGCTATAGAGGACTCGAATGTGTGAAGGACTGCAAAATATGAGAATAATCAACTAACAACATTTATAGCTCGCCTGAACTGGTAAGTACGTAGATGACTAAAAAGCAACAGATTGTTGCGTGTCGACCTGTCCGACCGCAAGCAAACATCAGCTTGCATGTATAATACAAAAACTACTCACCATTAGACGTGACATTTTCCCCTACTCTGCTTGGAGCATAATGCACGGCGCACTTAGACCAAATCGATTTAAAAAACCCAAGCTCTACTTTCACTCTTTCAACATGAATAATGTGTTTTAAAGGCACATTAAACTTTCCGAATGACTATTTTGCAATGGAACAGAAGGTATTGCGTTTTTGAATGCCTCAGAATTTTGCCCATTAAAAACTCATCTAAAATATCCCCTAGACTAGTAGACCTTCTTGCCAACAAAGATGGCTTTTTAAGGGTAGATACATTTGGACTTTTTTAACACAGATAATGTTTACTGAATCACCGAAATTTGAAAAGTTTTCATTTCTTTGCACGTCTTGTTGTAAGAATTAGATTTTTGCCTGACGCGAAACCTTAGTCAAGCCATGAAATACAGGAGGGGGTCCAGGGCTCCTCGAAGTTCCATATCTTCCAGTATCCCTGTGTAAATTCTGAACGACAAGCATATTTCGGCCACTGCGAGCTTACGCAGTCCGACTATCCATTCTTCTTCCTTGCACATTTTTTGCAATGGTTTGGTGTTTTCGAAGAGCCATTAAGTATTTTCCTTCTGCCATTCTCGGGAACAGAGAAATGATGAAGGAGTCCAATCAAGGTCAAAGGCAATTCCTGCGATCAAGTATTATAAGTAATAAGTGTGCAATTACAAACTGACTCCCCAGCAAAGAAAAAAAGCAAGAAAAACACTTCAACACTTTTGGTAACAAGCCCTCCATGCCAGTCACACAGCCACACTGTCGAGTTCTATGGACTTGCTGGCAAATCGACACGCTGCTGCCTCTTTGCAACCCTTGGCACACAAGCAGTTTCTTCGCATCATACAGCATTGAATGCCATAGACTACCAAAGGGAAATGAAAAAAAACAGACTGGATAAAAACTCTCTACAGAAAATACCCTTAAAACTCTCTATATGAAGTAAGGATTACGGCAAACAATGCATTACGAGCTGGTAAACTAATGCAATTGCATTACCGGTAAATTTGAGCAACGTCAAAAAAAACCAGATGTATCTTGCATCCTGCAACAAAATTCATTGCCTTGCGAAGCGAACTGCTATTGCTTGCTTGTTTCAAAAAAGGTATCGACGGAAAGCAGAACGACTCCTGAGCTGGTGTCCACACGCCACCTTCCCAGTAGCGAGCACATAACATCGTCCTTTGAAGTTGCAGGCAATAAAGTCGGTAATTAGCGATGTAGGACGTTGTCTTGTAGGCCAGTCAACTTAAAGACACATGGTACGCTCAAACACATTGAGGGTGTATGAGACTATCAGCCCCCCAGCTGTCGATGTGTCGTGGTCCCCCCGCCCAAAACTGCACGGGGTCAGAGTACGGGGCCGTGGGAAAGTCGTAATTCCTTGCTACACCGCCCTCACGTTTATGCTAACACCATCCGCGCGGCGCGGTCGCGTGCAGCTCTCTTGGCTTTTTGCCAAGTCCTGTAATTGCGCTTTGGAATACAAGTACAACGCAATTTCTTTATGCGGATAACATTTAGGTGCTGCAAAATATTAGGTTGGTGCATAAGTTCTTTTCCCCGACTTTTTTGTAAATATCTCAATAGCGAACCAGCCTGAAGATTAGAGGTATGCACCATCCACTACTCGACGCCAACGCTCAGGCAGCTTGTCGATTCCATCGTCCCAGAAGGACGGGGGCTGGGACCCGAAGAAGCCACAAGTGCCGCACAATCACCACTGTGACATGGTTTTGCACTGGCCTGCAAATGCGGGGCGGGGGGCGAGTGATAGCTAGTGTGATGAAAGAGTATCATGTACACGTCACGCACACGTGATGACGAAATACCAACATCCATGCAAACGAAATACGGAAGGATCAAAACAGGGGGAAAAAACTTATGCACCATCCTAATAAGAACCGAAGATGATGACGAGGGCCAGAACTCAAGAGCAACTGTGCTGCTTCTGCAACATCCCTCGGAGGCCGCGCATTCCCACAAAACATGAAAAAAACGGCCTAAGCGTCCCACTCGTTAGTTTAAAGTATTTTTATGGCTTTGGAGCCGGATTCGCGCCGAATTGCAGACACACGCGATTTTAATTAATTTGCGTTTCCTTAGTTTTTTCAATTTTGTTTTATTTACATCTACATTCGTTGTTCTTCATTTCTAGCCTTTGTCATCTTCATCACCTTCTATTCGGACTTTGAAGCATGAGCAATACCTCAAATGTTAGAAAATTGCGTTCTTGCTTGTAAGCAATGCCTCAAATGTTAGGAAAATTGCGTTTTGCTTGTATTGTCATGTTTTATTGTCATGTTGTCCGTTTTTATTGTCATGTTCTGTGGGAATGCGCGGCCTCTGAGGGATATTGCAGAAGCACCACAGTTGCTCTTGAGTTCTAGCCCTCGTCATCATCTTCGGTTCTTATTTTGCAGCACCTAAAATGTTATCCGCATAAAGAAATTGCGTTTACTTGTATTCCAAAGCGCAATTACAGGACTTGGCAAAAAGCCAAGAGAGCTGCACGCGACCGCGCCGCGCGGACGGTGTTAGTAAAAACGTGAGTTTGCGAAACGGGCGGTGTAGCAAGGAATTACGACTTTCCCACGGCCCCGTACTCTGACCCCGTGCAGTTTTGGGCGGGGGACCACGACACATCGACAGCTGGGGGCTGATAGTCTCATACACCCTCAATGTGTTTGAGCGTACCATGTGTCTTTAAACACTGACAAGCGAACTGTGGGTAACAAGGGGTTAGCGGACGCAATGGGGTAGAATTCCTAAATGAGCAGGTCGTACCTGAAATGGTTCCTGCGTTGAAATTCCACAACTCGGTCCTGAGAGAGTTTAGAGATCGGGAAAAATTGCGGGGAAAAAGGAACACCTATTGACTGTCTGAGGCCTTTCCGACCACCGTGCGATAACCCGCAACAGGCTAAATAATGTAAAATAAAAGTTTCAGAACAAGCCAGATTTGCTGCTGCAATATCAGAATACCTTCCAAGAACAACTCACCAAAGGAGTGATCGTATAGGTGACAACAGGAGATTTGGGCCGTGGAAGTGCACTACCTAGCACATCGAGCAGTCACAACGCTTCACAACCCACTACAAACTATCTGCGATGGCTTTCCACCACAGGACTTCACCATGTATAAATGACAAGTCCCATCAAGGGCCCGTTAGATAGCTATGGGATGAAATTTCTGTGGCGTCCACTGATACCAACATTACCTTCTTCACCGCATATGAAAGTATGGAAAAAAAGGGACATGCGTTTCTTACTTAACAAGCAATGTAGCTTCACGCGTCAACACACACCCGTCAACATACACCTATTAGTAAATTCAAATATGTCAATAACAACCTACTTGAGTAGCTTGATATTGAAACCGTGGAAATTCTCCTCGTCATGGCTATCCTTTTTCTTTTTCGCACCAATATCGACAGCTTTGTACTCGGTGTTCTTGATAGCCAACTCTACTCCATATCCCGACAATGAAACTTTAGCGATGTGAGTTCCAGTAGGCTTCAAATATGAAGGTAACGTGGAAAAACAGAACAACATAAAACAATGAACCACCTTGTAATGCCTCAAAACGTATCGAATCCTTTGTGCAGAGGCCAATTCGACTGTTTTGGAATGAAGTTGCAACCACTCCTGCGTACCGATCTCCCCGTAGATCACTGCGACCACTTCCGCTCCTTCCCCAATATTAAGCTCATGATCAATGGAGAGTAATGGCGGGATGTCTCTATAATCGTCGCTCTTGAGACTCGCTCATTTGCGTTTTGACATTAATGCCTTTCATCATCACCATAATTTGTGTGAACATGAAACAGCAGAAGATAAAACATTATAGATTGCCCTGTATAGGCGTGCCCCTTTCACAGATTCCTGCTGAAGATGTATCACAAAGCCCGGACGGAACAAAGGAATTGTGAATGATGTAAAAGTCTACTGCCTTTTTGTATATAGAACAACACCTTTCATGAGCGGATTTCAGGGCACTTTCAAGTCCCTCGACATCACACCCTCTCATGCCATGAATGTCGAAAAATGCTCTGCACGGCATTGCATAGTCCGAGGCGATCTAAAACTTGCAGCTTTTGTCAAGAATAAATCGAGAACAACAACGAATGGATGGAAGTATCAATCTAGAACACCACCTGCTGAAATAACTGCACTATGGGAGAGTAAAGTCGTAAGGATAACGAAAGTTTCAAGAGATCTATGGACGGTGGCGATAATATCTTCGAGGCTTGCTCTAGCCCGATCTCGTACTTCTTTCTGTCGCTTACTAAACATAGTCGTATGAGGAAAAACGAAGACTCCTACAAAGAAAAAATATCTGTCTCATATATGTGCAGTGTATGTTTACAAACACGAGGGCGCGCCATTAGCAATGTGACTTCTTGTCCTAGAGTTAAATCCGCGTGGTCACAGGTACTTGCGACGTCTTTGCTTGCTCCTCTCTAACAAAAAAGATACTTCATGACCTGGAGCACTTTTTAAGAACGGTTTACTTGAATGATGTAGGGTGAAAATGTACACTGTCAAGTTTCACTTTTTCTAGAGGCTTCTGGAAATACTGAAAGGGAGTGAAATACATTTGCAGCTTCTATTAGGTTGTCCCAAAAGTTCGTGACATTTTCGAACTTTTTTTCGAGTCAAGTTTATTCCAGTGAGAAGCAATTTTGATCAACAATATATATGTTACCTTCATCGGCAACTTGTTGCCAACCACCAGGCAAAGAGTGGTTGCCTTGCTTCCAGAAGCTTTTTATTTCCGTGTCGAGAAAGCCGGTCGGGTCATTTTTGAGACCCTTCTGGAAGTAGAAGTCGGTTTTGGTGGCCGCCGCTGGCGGGTCAGCCTAGATGGCAGTCAGAAAGAGCTAAGTCAGGGCCACGAAGTACTGTGGTGGGATTCGGAAGCTAAGCTTCAAGATCAGTGTCATTTTCGAAATGTGTGACCACTGAGCTGTGGTGGAGTAGGCAAACACTGCTGGCCTGAAGGACCAAATGAGGAGGATTTTCATTCTCCTTTTGCAGTTAATTAGAGGAGGACTGATTGGTTACCATAGCGTTGAAGGGAAGAAACCCTTGAAAAAACCCTACCTAAAGCGTGTGAATGGTCCACCACAAGCATAATACCACCTTCTTACTGTATTGAATGGATTGCACGACCGATTCTGCCCTTTCTGGAGGATCTAGCCACTGGCGCTTCCGGGAGTGGTTCACCAGAGACACCTACTCCTTATCCAGTCACAGTCGTTGTTCAACCAGTCTGTATGGCGGGAGCGGGAGAGAAGTTGTAGACAGTATTCACACTTACCCTTGAGTACCGGCTAATAGATGAGAAAATTTTGACCAGGCTTCAACACTTTCTTGAGGGAGTGAGGACCTCTGTCATTTGTGCTTTTAGAACAGTCAAGTGTAAGGGCTAGATGGCGAGTTGACTTCGTAGTCAATTGGTTTTAATCAAGGGACGCAAATCCAAAGCAGATGGCCAATGCCGCGTGCGGCTCGAAGCAGGTACTTGGTGGCAAAGCGAAGTGTGACAAAAATTATGAATTTCATCTACCGTTTTGGATATGACAACAGCGACTGCGAGGGACGGTAAAGCAACTGTGGGATGCTCACTTAACACACTTCCCATAGACCACATAACTGGATCTCGAAATGGCTGCGGAAAAATCTGATACGAGATTCAAAAAATGTCACGAACTTTTGGGACAAGCTAATATTAGACTCTATTATAGACTCAGCGGGAGGGCAGGTCAATGCTGATCAGAGGTCCCAGGAAGCGCAGCGACCTTGGGGGTAACTGGAGCGTATATAATAGTGATGGTATCATGGATGACTAACTCCAGCTGATCTTCCCGACCGCCGAGCTCGCAGCTCTAGCGTCCGGTGTTCACTTTGCTTGTGTAACTCACAAGCAAAGTGAACACCGGACGAGTAACTTGTCGTCGCTTTTCATTGCAAAGTGTTTTGTTCTAATAAACTGCTTTTATAAAACTCCCTTTTTTTGCTGGAGAAAACCGTCACCGTCGGTTTCTTACTTGATTGATCTGCCGGGTACACAACCCGTACCTGGGGGCCGATTCGAGAATCGAGTAAGAATCTATTGCGATCGGCTGTGGTGTGGGCACATAAAGAGCACGGCCAAAAGTTGACCGGATAGGCGGAAGTTGAAGAACCAGCGTGGGGGAAAGTGTGAGGTTCGCCGACAGTTGCTCAGGGAAGCTGACCCCCAGCTGGATAGTGATTGAGTACTGCTCAGATAGAGAACAGCAAGAACCGTTAGCAAGGATGCAAGTAAAGCGTCCAAGGATTGGTAAAGGAGGCGAATCAAGTGGTGAGGTTTGCCGACAACCGTCAAAAGGGGCGATCCCTAGCTAGACAGTGGTCAAGAGCGGTTCGAATAGAACTTCGGGAATCCTAAAGAAGGGCAATGGCGCAAAGTAAGCCGTCCAGGGATAGGAAGGTAGGAGGATCATACAAGAGTGAGGTGTCAGGCCGTACCTTGTGTTGATTACTGTTTGTTATAGATCGATGCCGTCGCGATATAGCTCTACGTTGTGATATTGATCGGAATAACATGGTATATTGCAGAACAAAGTCAAGAAGATGGAGAACCACCTCGGATAAGTCGATGAGAACATGGCAGCGAGCTGTAAACATTTGAGGCTGAGAGGATCACAGAGGAGTTGGATAAGCTGGGACGCGAGGTCAAGCAGCTACCGTTGAGGGTTGAAGAGGAGCTGGTTGAGGTATAGCGGTATAGAAATCAGACTTGGAGGACTTGGACGAGTATGTTAGTGTGACAGAAAGGGATGGGGAAGCAGCTATATACGACATGTTTCAGACAGATGTCACGCAGATATGAGGAATACTGAACGAGATGCGGCATCGAGGAGGAATGTTCGAAGAAGCCAGGAGGTCACTGAAGATGAAGAAAAGATGGATACGGAGCACGATGAAGGTCAGTCGAGGAATATGACTAATAGGATAGCTCCTCCCTCGAACAGGAAATATGTTAAGATCCATTCAGGGAGGAGTCGAACATTGCTGATTGGAGCAACCTACGCGCACCTTCGAGGCAGCATTCGAAGATCTTCGGACGACTGAACGGCACATGGAGGTCAGGATGCCTTAAACGTTAACTACTCAAGCTAATGCATGCATATAAGTCCCGAGATATTCAAGGGAAATAGGGCGACAATTCCCGAAGAATGCATAAGACGTTTCAAACGAAAGTATAGGACTATTATTTTTGATGACCAGACTTTACTGGACCCTGTAGTTGACGATCATCTGGAAGGCAGGGCTAAGAGTGTATTTTTGTCGTTACCTAGGAAAAAGAGACCAAGTTTTGAGACGGTGGTAGAAGAATTGACGAAGTTATTGGCAAGCGATTCAACGGCGGGACGATTGAGGGCACTGGCCGAGCTAAGAACCTTAAGGCGGAGATGGGATCAAAGTGTTGCGGATTTTTGTCTTGCACTGGAGAAACTTGGTCGACAGGCTAACCCCTCTTGTAGCATAAAAGATAGATCGCTTGAGTACGCTCAGATACTTCTGGACAATTTGACGGATTGGCCAGAACACGTCCACCTACTGAGCACGCTACACAGGGTAGACCCCACTGAGGCGTATGACTCCGTCAAGCAGTTGGCTCTGAGCATAGAGCAGTCAAAGGCGATATGGACTCCGAGAGTGGGCACGCGCAGAGATGGATGGAAAAGGAGGTCAGCTGCGTACCAGCAAGAAGAAAAGAAGCGAGAGCTTGAGCCAAAACCACTTCAGGACATAGAAAATAGCGAAGTCATTTTGAATAATGGGTCCAGAGAAGGGGGCAGCAGGAGCGAGATGTGGCATTTCAAACCTAGTGATAGTGAGGAAGTTCTGAGTGGTGGCACTACATAGGGGTCACGATGAAAGAGAACAGGGAGGTCGTAGCGAAGGAGGCAGCGATAGAAGAAGATGCTACAACTGCCAGCAGATAGAACATATTGGGAAGGAGTGTCCACAGAGGAGGCCCCGAGTTAATCATTTAACTTCCAGATGATTTGAATCAGCCATGGTTTCAGTATATGACGAATCAGGCGATCTTATGAAGTTTATGGGAGCTATGAAGATAACAGTGGAATCAGAAGGAGGTAGAAAAGCGAAGTTTCTTTTCATATTATGATTATCAATAAAAAAGAGATATTATTGGGTACAAACTCCTTGGACCAGTTAGGTGTGAACGTGCATATATCACCAGAGCTAGATCCGGATAAGGAGAGGGTATCCGTCAAGGAAGGTAATAGTAGCCAGGAGGACGTACATTACTCCGCATAGTGCAGCGATTGTGTCGGCTCGATGTGAGGGACATAGTTACGAGGGAGATCGCCTCATTTGGCCACACATGACTGGGATGGTTGCAGGTGTGTATACCATCAAAGGTCGAAGTGTAGATGTATCCGTGGTGAACGATAGCGATGAGCCCATGATCTGTAGAGAAGGAGACGTGATAGGTCAGTGGGGGACAGAGAAATGGCGTGAGGGTTGGGAAGATGTGAACCCGCTCATGCTGGATAGTACATCCCCTGATATGAGTTCAGCAGAGGCGAGATTTACTGCTTGAATAAGTTAGGGAGGCGTCAAAGGGAGGCGCCCCGTTAGATAACAGGCAGAAACGAACAGGCACAGGTGATAATAAGTCAGTCAAAATGAAAAGTAGGCCCGTTCCGCTAGGTATGAGGAAGAAACTTAAAGAGCCCCCAGAAGATTCGAAAATGAGGAAATTAATAGAAGAAGCAGTTCGGAGTGGGCTTCTCCCATGGTCTCAGTGGAAAAAAAAGGACGATAGTCTTAGATTATGGTGGACTACCATGAGCTGAATAAGAAAATCATGCTTGACTCGTACCCTTTACCCACCATAGACGCGGTATTGCAAAGACCGTGTTTCTCGACTTTGGACCCTTGTAGTGGATATTGGCAAACCCCGCTTATGGCTGAGGCACGGGAGAAATCAGCATTCACAACGCCAGAGGACTATTCCAATTTCGTGTGACTCCTTTTCGGATTAAGCACCAGTCCGCCTGTGTTCCAGAGACTAATGGATACAGTGTTGCGTGACCTTCTTGGAACGGAAGTTTTCTGTTACATTGATGATATAATAGTTTGTACGGAAATGCGAGAAAGGTATATAAGACCTAATGAAACAAGTGTGTGCAAAACTACAGGAAGTGGATCTCAGATTAAAAGCGCAGAAGTGTGTGCTGATGCAAAGTAAGGTACATTTCTTGGGGCATGTCGTGGATAAGCAAGGTAT